AAAATAGTATTTCCCATAAAAAAATTATATTGATCAATACACTTTTCAATAAGTTATAGCATTATAATGTTAAAAATGTAAAAAATAAAATTGAGAATTTTCACACAATAATAGCATTTGGTAGCCATTTTCACTATGAAGACAAAATAAAGTCCGAATTTTTTTTTTTCCATGATAAAGTATATTACATTAGCTTTAATTTAAGATATATATAAAAGTGTCAGACCTTCCGGAACATTTTCAAAATTTAAGTTAAAAAAATTAATTTTTTGTGAAAAAGTTGTCATTTTAAATCCCCCCTTGTGGGCAGGTTAAGGGTTAAATTTATGAAAAAAATATACCAAATGAAAGGTAATGATATTATGCATCTATATAAAAAAGAATTATATTGATATGTTCATTTTTGAAAAAGTTATGGCACTTTTAAGTAAAAAAAATTGAAAAAATTTCGAAAATTAGCGATTTTTAAATTTGTAATTTTTTTGGAGTTTTCCCCCATTTAAGGGGAACGAGGGAATTTGTTTCAATTTTTAAGAGTAATGTCTTCGACTAGATACGATATGTGATCTTTTGACGTATCATTGAAAGAAATCGGTTCGGTGAGAGCTGAGAAAAAGTGGTAACAGACACAAAAAAAAAACACATCTTAGTAAAACCAATACCTTCTCAGCTTCGCATCGAAGCTAAAACACTTCAAAATGAAATAATTGAATCATGTAATAAAATTATTTTAAATATAATCGTAACAAACATAAATGCCCAAAGATGTTTCAAAATACTTGCTGATGAAACGGCCGACATTGGTAGAAGCGAACAAGTAACTTTGTGTGTTCGATATTTAGATGTTGAATGATCCTTGATATGATTATCAAGGAAGAATTCTTCAGTTTGTGCCTACAACAGATACTACTGGAAAAGGTTTATTTATTATTATTCAAAGTTTACATTCATTTGGTGTAGAAACAAAATACCTTAGAGGACAGTGTTACGATGGATGTGCTTTTATGTCTGGTCAATTTAACGGAGCTCAATCTCTTATTCACCAAAGTTATCCGCTTGCGACGTTTGTTCATTGTGCTGTTCATGTTTTAAACATTGCTATTTCTTATTCATCTTCTATACAAGAAACACGAAATTGATTAGGAACAACATTTAAAGTTAGAGATTTTTTCATATACCCAAAGCGAAAAGATGTGTTGAAAAGTCAAATCGAAGAAAGTCAAAAATGTATAACTAAAAAATCAATTAAACAATTATGCGCGACCAAATAAGTTGAACGTTTTTATGCTGTCAATGATTTTCTTGGGCTTTTTGTGTACCTAATTGAATCGTTATTTATAATTTCGAAGTGGAATGACACTGAAACATCATCAAAAGCAAGTAATTTACGAACATCAATACTGAAAGGAGATTTTATTATTTGTTTACTTATTATAAATAAAGTATTTAGTTATGAGTTACTTTGTTTAAAACAACTTCAAAGAAATTAGCAGGTACACAGCATTGTTATTATCAATGGTAGTAAGGCACATTGTTGTGAGTTTATAAATACACTAACTGTCAATACAGAAAGTATATCTATGATAGTCATAATTGATAATAAACAATCCGTGACTGCGACATTGATATCATATAAACCAGAGGTTCTCAAAGTCAAATGAATCACGGACCCCCATCTAAAGACTTACAGTTTTAAAGACCTAACCCTGATATGTGCTCGCGGACCCCTGGGGGTCCGCGGACCACACTTTGAGAAACTCTGATATAAACCATTTAGCTACCTGTATTTGTAATCATATCATCATGTGTATTATACGTGTATATTAACTCAAAAATTTGAAACTTTAAATGTTTATATCTAATAAACTAATAAAGTTATATTAAAAATTCAAATGCCATTTACTATTTAATTAAAAATCCAAACATTTTATTATATTCAAAATATGTGTTCCCATTTAAAAGACAAAAAGACAAAGTTGACACCCTTACAAGGCATAAGGGATGAACATAAAAAGTTTTAAATAGTTAATAATTTAAGAATAATGTGTAACTAAAGAAAACCAAAAATAATGTTTAAATTATATTTATTCTACAAGTAAATGAGTGGGTTATGATAAAAAAATCAGTCTGTATACTGTAATATAGTTTATCATTTGTAAAGCTGGAAGTAAAACATTTTTGTAATGTTTTGTTTAATTGTAATTTCCTGATCTATTATTACTAGACCAGGAATTAAATATTTATAAACATTTTTGAAAACGATAGTATTATTAATTTTGCAAAAAGAAGAAAAACAAAATATTTTAGTATATAAGACGAAATGGAATGAATCGTAGAAGAGAGAGGACCTCAGGAGCACCGAAGGTAATCTCTTTTCGCGCGGTACGTTTATGACATTAAGTTTTCATTTTATGTATTGTTTTATTGTGTTTTTAGTGTATATTTATTTTGTATGTTTTGCATTGTTTAATTATATCTATAATAAATACATTTGAGTTATTATTAAACTTTTATTACTTTAAGTTAAGACACTAGGGTTGTTTCTTTTAAGATACAACAGTACCAAAATTTCAAATTATTTGTCAATTCCTAAAATAGTAATTAGAAAAATAGTAGTTTTTTTTACGTCAGTAAACATTTCTATAATTTTCGTTTGTGATGTTCATTAAAAGTTGGACACCACCCGAGAAATCATTCAAAATACGCCACTGATCTGTAGGTACTGTTTAACCCTAAGAAATTGTTTCATAATTACAAAAGCAATTCAACTCTTATTTCCTTAACTATATCCTGATTAGTGGTTCTTAGATTTAAATGTATAATTTATGAATAAATATTTATTATAGCAATTATATAAAATCTGAAATAATAGTAAAATTAATACTTTCTTCGTTTCGCATCAAAGCTAAAATTGTTATTATTTTTTCAACATTTTAGATAAGTTTTTTTGTGTAGTCATTGATGACTTTTTATTAATCATAACGATGTTAAATCTTTATGTAATAATTTAATCGACAATTTTTGTTTGGATATTAAATTTTATTATACGAAATATGTAATTTACATCAAATTTTATTGTTCAAACTTTTAAATTGATGCTAGATAATTTTTAAACATAATAATTCAACGCATAGTACTTCCAAAGCTTTACATACTATATGCATAAAATCCAAGGGTTCTAACCACCTAGATTTTTACTAATAAACGTTTTTCTTAGGTGACAAAGTAAAACTACACATATAGTGCTATCTATTGATAATTCAAAACATCAATTTTTGGTTAGTAATTATTTAGTAAGATAGTGCGTTTGTACTATTCAATATACTTAATTATAATTTATAAAATGTGATAATATTTATCATTATCACGTGTAGTTGTTATCTTTAATCACAATAGACAAGTCACAACCACAATTATTACAAATCTTAATAAATGTTAACTATTGCTGTATTTCTGAAATTTTATGAAGTTTAAATTTTCTACTTAAAAGAATTGTATATTTTAGTTTTAAATTATAATTATTATAGATTTTATTGTAATTTGGTGAGTATAAACAAGGTGTATTTCATTACATTAAAACAATTCACTTAAATATTTTGCATGCCATTGGGGAATATTTTTTATTATATTGTTATATGAACACTAAAAAAAATTATTTAGATAGAAAGTTTTGTACAAAATTTACAGAAAAATTTAGTTATTGATATCTCTGGAGAAATATTTTCATTCATTATTTATGATTGTATAAGATCTATATATTCAATGTTTTTAAACATTGTGTATTTTAACAATAAAAAATAGATGAAACAATAATCAGAATTATTTACTATTTTTCTTAATTATAATCTTAATCTACATATATTTTTTGTTTATAAACAAGTATTCATTCCTTTCTAATAAATTAAATAAAGCATGTAGGAATGTTTATTATTTTACCTATTTTATAAAATCTTATTTTAAGTATGTAGTATAATTACTTATTAATCTTCTATTTTGTATTCAATATTTGGTTATATTAGCCTTCCTCATATTACATTCAATAACATTCTACCTCTTCTTCCTTCAACATTCATTTCTATAACTGTCCTTATAGCTTACAATTCCTCTTTCCTCATAACATGACTAAACTATCTAAGTCTATTTTCTCTCATATTATCCACAATTGACATTACACCTTTACCACCCGCACTTAATCCTGTGTCTTACATCCTTGTAATACCACTGCTCTTTTGTACAACTGATCCTAACTACTTAAAACTTTTCACCTCTCCTATTACGCTCTTGTCTATTGTCACTGATCTCTTCATTTCAGCTATCTCATTGGTGCCACAGCCTCCCATACCCCTTTCTTAAATCTACCAGTCCCTCATTCTATGAGATATCCTCTAATGACTCTCTTGGATACTCCTCATTCAGTAATTTTTCAAAATACTGTTTCCACCTTTTTTTCACGTCATCATTACTCGATAGCACCCTATTTTCAACACTTTTTATACACCTAACATAGTGATAATATTTAGACTTTTTTTCTCTTACTCTTGCAAGTCTTATAGACTTATTTTCTCTTTCCTTTATTCCTGCCTATATACAACTTAAACTTCACCTTAATTACTGCACACTTGGTGTCTTTGCACAAGCATTTAGGCTCCATTCAAACATCTCTCCTTTTGCTATTCTGCCAGACTTTAAACTGCTTTTTCTTAAGCTCTATGATTTCTGAATGGTTTTATCCCACCACTTCGTTTCCTTGTTACCTGAAATTCTACTTCTACTCTCACCAAAAATTTCCTTTGCAGTATTCTTTACACAATTAGCAAATCTATTTCAAATATCATTTATGTCACCCTCAGTATTTTACACCGTCCTTCCCTTTATAGTCTTTAAAAGTTTTTTTTCGTTTCACCCTTTCATTTTCCACCACTGGGTCATTGATTTTATTCTTGTGTTCTTTCTGTTTTTGTATACTTTTTCCCCACTATACTACAACTCCATTACTATTAGTCTATGTTGTAAAATTACACTCTTGCTCTGTTATATATTATAACTATAAATTATATATATTCTTCCATCGTTCTTAAATAAGTATTAACCATAGTAAGATCATATGATACTGCGAAATCTAGTATTCTTTCTCCAGCCTTATTCTTCCTACTATTTCATCACATCCTACTTGTGGTGCATAGACACTTATTACATACAACATTTTTTCCTCGAAAATTAATTTTATGACTATAATTCAGGCATTTTTTCTAGCCAACAACGTTTTGAAGCCTAAATTATCATTTATATAAACAGTTTTAAATAAAGTGGTTACATTTTCTGAAAGCTTAAAAACAATTTTTTTTAATTAATAATTTATATATCGAGGATATCTTATTCCGAACTGACAATGCTTATAACTTTTGAAACAATTATCATATTATTGAAATTTTTTTAAAATTATTATTGTTTTCTTATATTACATTTAAAACATGTATTTACTTATTAATAATAAATAATAAAAAGTATGTTTTAAACATAGTCTTAGAAGACAATATATATTTTTTTTTTTTAATTTTAATAAAATGATAATTGTAGCAATAGTTTTATGCATCGTCAGTTAGATTTGGATTATTGTATATAAATTTTTCTTCAAAATTCTCTTATGTAATTCATTATACAAATTGTTTCTTCTAAGATGTTAATTTTAAATTCTAAAAAAAGTTTGTTAAATTAATGTATAAAGAAGTTAAATTTTACTAGAAATTCTGTATATTATAATATCATAAGATAAGTCTTAAAAATTATTTCCTTTTAAGGAGAAAAAAATCTAATATTCTTTAACTATTTTAATGTAAATAGTTATTTTTTCACATTCTTAGTTAAGGTAACTAAAATGGTTTCATAAAATTTACATTAATATTTAAAATTATGACAATATTTGAATGGTGTTTAAATCATAAATTGAAAATTTCATTTTTTGTTTAGATATCACCAAATTTAAATTTTAAAATTCAGATACAGGCAAATCAAAACATTAGTTTATTATAACAATATTGATCATTACATTTTAAGTCATAAAGTATTTACAAGATATAACAATTGTTTAATTTTATATTGATTACCATAATATTTTTTTAATATAGGGAAAATCACAGACAAATATGTTTATGTTATAGTATTTATATGATAAAAATTAAATTGATAAATACATCAAAATATTAACACATTTTAATATATTTAAGTGAACTCTAGAATAGCATTTCGTTAATCTTTGGGAACAAATGTATTTTACCACCCCATCGAGTTTTTTCATTTTTTTTTTTTTTTTAAACGTGTATTTTTCAATGCTTTTTTCAAAAGTGTTTGAAAAAATTGTCGGAAAAAAATGGTTCAAAAGTTATAGTTTTTTAAAGTTGTGTAGCGACCAAAACATACGCAACGAATATTCTCGAATGTTCTCGTTATCAAAAACCTTCGAGAAACTTCGATAACGCCATAAGATAACCTACGCGGGTATAGAATATTCTAGAATTAGCGAGAGCCTTATCGGAGCTATATATATATCGGAAGAATCAGTCAGTTCAGTTAGTTCAGTTCAGACTGTCTAGTCCGCGATACGCTACACGACCGCTACACCCCGCCGCTGTTGTCATCGTGTATTATGTTTACTTCGATTATTTTATTTTTCCTTACTGTATATACATATATTTTCTTTTAGTGTTTATACGTCTATTTTAGTGTTATAATTTTGTTTAATAAAAGTCTACCGCCATTTAAATAATTGTGTGTTGTAAGATATAACCCACAGTTGAAACGTCAAAAACTAAAAATAGCTCAAAAATTGTTTTTTTTTTTTGTTAATTTTTGGGATTTTTTCTCATGATACTATTGTGAAACTATAATGACGTAATTATTACATAATATCCTCATTCTAAAAATCCTAAAACCAAAATTATCTTTAAAAATAAGGATTTTCCAAATTTTTTTTTCAAAACTACGCACATCAAATTTACGCAATACGAAATAAAAATAACAAGAAACTCAATTAATTCAATTTGAGGAAGAAAAAAAAAAAAAAAGACCACGATGTGGTGTTTTACATAGAATTGTTAATTCAATAAAATAAAAGTTTTTACTGTTTATTATGTACACCAATTAACACTTGTTGTAAACAAAAAAAAAATACTATTACATTAGATATTGTTGATATTAGTTAAGTTGTTGAGGTATCAAAATATACTTACTAATATCTTAATGTTATAATGTTGAGTTATACAAACCCATTTAAATATAAGTTGTGGTCACCTACGCCTGCCGGCTCCGGTGACCGATTCGAGCCCCATCGGGACTCTCTTGGGATGGGGGCTCACGCCCCCAAACCCCCAGAGGATAGAAGTCAAGCCCAAACCCAACCTATTTAAACCCATTCGACTGAAATTCTCAGTGACCCAACAAGTATAAAACCTTGATGTTAAAATGGTGATATAATATTGAAAAAATAGATAAAAAAAAATTCAAAAAAAAATTAAATTTATTTACTTCAACACTACCTTAACACGTTTAATGTACTCATAAATACTCTTAAATTTACTATTCCTCGGTAACTACATCATCGAGAATACTTTTTATCATTAATTAATGAAAATTATCAAAAAAAAACAGCAGTATATAACAAAATTTGTATATGATTATTGAAATATTTGAAAGCTCATAACTTTTAAACTAGACTTCGCCGACAAATTTTTTTTATATATTCTTAGTCGGTATGAAAAACTAAATTGATTTCAAAAAAAAAAATTTGAAAAATCTCGATGGGGTGGTAAAATGCATTTAAGCCAATCTTTGTAATATCAAAATTCTAATTTAAATTCATGAGGTATTGGTTTTATTTTCTATTAGAATAATTATATAACGCCTTCTGTTAAATTTATGCAACTATTTATACGAATTTAATTTTTAATCACGCTATTTGGTATTTGGACGTTGTCTATCATTAAAACATTAATTTGTTCTTATAATTTTAGTGAAATATATGTTTGAAAATATTTATAATGCCCTAAAAAATTGTTATAAAAATTGAGGCTCAACTTGAATTTTGCTAAAAATTTAACACAATGTTCTACCATAAATTGTTTTCTATTGCCTGAATTTATTATTTTGTCATTTACTATTTGAACTAACGATTAAGTTGACAGGTGTTTGTAAACCGGTAAACAATTTTAATTCGTACGTTTTACAACCATTGACGTACTGTACTGTAATTCAGGTCCTTTTGTCAAATGTTAAATGCACTCCGTGTCTAATAGTAATTGCTGTTCATATTTTACTAACAAATGATAATACATCATAACAAACAATTTCGCCGAACAACTGAGTAATGAAATAGTTTTAACATTTTTGCATATCTTGTGTATTATTTCTGTCATTGTTAATATAATTATACGTCTTACCGCTGTTTTATTACAATATTATGCAAATTTTTAACGTATTACTCAAAACATGTAGTTAATTCATTTATTTTTGTCGCATAATATTATTCGACCCAAGGCATTAATAAATTAAATTATTTTGAATATATCAGAAAATAAATGAATTATAATATTAATAACAATTTAACATTCGTTAACAAAAAATTTTTAAATCTTTTCTAGATGATAAGATCAAATATTTTCTTAGAATTTAAATTTAAAACATTTTATTGTTGTCATCACGACAACATAGTTGTGATAGTTACCTATGTATCTTTTGTGTAGTTTTAAACTAGAGTATTTTTTATTTTTGTATAGATTGGGTGAGAACAACAAAAGTTTTTTTTTCTTTGTTGTCTAGACTTTTACCAACAAAAATATCAGAAAGTGTGTCATAAGAATTTATTCAAATTTTTTAACATATAGTCATGTTGACCTGCTTTGCCGCCGATTGGCAGTTTTGTCACGAAATTCTCTAATAGTATTGGATGATTAATTTGTTTTGTAAATGGGTTTTCGGAGTAGGTCTACCGTTACTTTATACTTTGTGTGAAAACTTTAAAGGCCGACTGAGGTAAAGGATTGCCTCGTGTGTCGCATTACTCAGAGATGCGCGCGTCCCGCCGACTAATCGATACCGTGACGCAGCATTTAGGTGAGGGGTCGGCCGTTAACGTGTTCATGTGTATTCCGAGGGGGTTGTAAAGCGCACATTCCGTCGTCAATTCGCCCTCAGTTGTGTTTATCCCTCCAAAAAGTACGCCGCACAATGCTCTCGTTTGCCGTTCTTTGTTTTGTGATGCGCTTTTAATTCTCATTCGCTGATGTCGTCCGTTCTGTGTCAACATGTGAATTGAATATAATTCTGTTACCATTATTTTAGTCAATTGTTTATCGGATAAATTTTAACGACGATGCACAATAAATGACGCTGTGCAGTAACGAGACTAGGAGGCGACAGCGGCGGATCAACGGGTTGCAGACACCTTGGCACCCTCAGCAAGTGGCTGGATGGCTAGTACTGGCAACGTTCGGTGCCTGTACATTTGGCGTGCTTCTGCCCGGCTTAGGTCCAAACTTGTATCCGGGCGTACTGTTCGTACTCGGTAGCTTGTTCTTCCTGCACATTGTTTCCCATGTAGCCGCGCTACTCATTGATCCCGCCGATCCTCAGCTTCGTGTTCGATCCGATGTTACTAAGGCCGTGCCCGATCTCGACAAGGCTAAACATGCTCATGTCATCGAGAACGGGAAATGTCACCTGTGCAATATTTACACTTCTGGCCATCGCACCAAGCATTGTGGGTCGTGCAACAAATGCGTGGAAAAGTTTGATCATCATTGCAAATGGTTGAACAACTGCGTTGGTGCCCGTAACTATGTAGCGTTTATCGTCAGTGTCGTGTCGGCCGTGATGGCATGCTTCATGATCGTTTTGCTGTGCATAGTAGAACTCGTGTTGTACCAGGTTGATCCATTGCGTTTAGACCATTTCCTGAAGCCATTGTTTTCTAATCAAACCATACAGTTCAATCAGCTGTTTAGCGTGAGCCGTCTTCCAGTGGATCGCGATACATTCGTCGTAGTCGCATCCGTCCAGTGTGCCCTAGCTCTGATCGCCACCGTTCTCCTACTGCATTTGTGCCTATTCCACGCATATATATCAACACTCGGTATAACTACGTACGAGTATATCAGGAATTATAGACGGTATCCAGAGTTCGATTCGAGGAATGGCGCATCGTCCGCCTCGGTCAACAACCTGTCAATCGGTTCGCGTAAGTCGTTACTGACCAAGCTGTACGCCACCGCGTGTTGTTACGGAGCGACGTCCCGACGGAAACGTCCATCATGTGGCATTCACAACGTCAACAACGGTCTCATGTCGGCTACCGTCCAAGACTCTACCGCATTATCAATAGAAACTGTAGAATCTTACGGTGGTAGACACGGCTTGAGAGGTATGGAAGTTAAGCTAGAAGACCGAGATCAGAATGTACCAAAGTGCAGGTACTGTCTGGAGAAAAACAGGATTCAGGAGAACACTTTTTTCGTTATGGATAAACGGAAAGAATTCTGCTGTTGTTTTCAAAAACCGGAACCTGTTTTCGAGCGATCGGTCATGCACATCAAAGTACCGCCATCGCCGTTCGCTGTACGGCGCAATCGTATTATTCCAGCCGACGATTTGACCATTGTCAGTGACTGGAAGTCATTCAACTCGAGTGCTCTGACAACATTGCCAACATTGTCAAAGTCTCAAAAGATCACACTTAAGGATCTCGGTCAGGTTCTAGCCATGGTAGAACAACAACCGTTGAAAAAGCAAAGGCGTAAGAGCAATCCGCAGCTGAAGCACTCAAAATCGTCAAACCTGTCGCCCATTCACGAGTCAGGACTTTCTAATCCATCAACACCACAGTTAAAAAATCGCCAACCTCAAACAAGACCATGTAGTTGGCTGTCTTCCCCGAAAACCGCCCCTAAAAAAAGTTAATGTTATAAAAACGCACTATTTTATTCGCATAAATTTGACCGTTGGACTTCCATAGCTAAAATTTGAGTTTAATTTTTTTTTCTTCTTACCTTTGTACTGTTAACTAAAAATTCTAGTATTATTTTTGATTTTAAGAATATTTCGAAACTTATATCAACATAAAGATAGTATAATTCTAAATAAAAATTATTTAACTTTACGAGATATAATATCGGTCATTATCAAATGAGTTGAAGTAATCGTTACTATTTAAAAAAAAAATGTAATTATACTGATATTGTCAATCAAATATCAAGATTTTGGACCATATTATAAATTCATCTTAACATACCAATCGTGAGATTAGTATTGTAGTGATTTTTATAAGATAAGTTAGTTGTTTAAATTTTTAAATATTAATAATTTATAATTTAACAATGTATTATATGATAAAAATAAATAATGATGGTATTCTCTATCCATTCATTTTAAATTTGGGTTGAAAGGTTTTTTAAATTAAAGTAGACCGTGGTGTATAATTGCACCTCTGGCCAAACAAAAAATGCCCAATAGTTAATAGAGACAATTTTTTATATTTGATTGTTTAAATGATTGAATCACTTGTTGTTTAATCTAAATTTTTTTTTTTTAATCTTGTGTATTTTTTTATTTACTACAAAAAATTTTTCTTAAAATTTTCAATTATTTTATTACGTGATTGAGTTGTGGTAATGTTTTAATTTTCTATTATTAACTATAAATAATTTTTTAAGTTATCTCCCTAAATGATTTTTAGTAAAATTATAGATAATTTAAATTTATAAATTAATTGGATTTATAAGTTTTTTACATTTTGGTACTTTTTTAAAAAATGTGTTTTAGATGTATCTTTAAATCATTTATTGATAAAGAGTATTATTTTATCAATAAAAAAATATATATGACATATTTTTATATTAAAAATATAATACTTATACTATACCTGATATCATAAGATCATACTTGACTATGGTAACAAATTATATATTTGTTTATTATATAAATAGCAATATCTTTGTAAAGGTTTAGAATTGTATGTTTGAACTGATCTAGTATTGTTTATGATTAAATGTATGTAAATGCATAAAATATTGTAATTTATTTATTTAGAGTTTAATTTGTTTGATTGTACTGTAAAAAAATAATGTTTATCAAAGAAATTAATATTTGATCATAGTTAAAATTTATGTTTTTATTTTTCCTTAAGTATATATCCTTTAAAGTAGTCTGAGAAATTATTCAGTTTAAAAGTATATCATCTACCTCCAAAAAATACTTTTTTAATTTTATGAATAATCTCAATTTCAATTGTCCGTTATAAATTTTCTAATATATTTAAAATTGAGATGATGTGGTATAGAGAAGTTTTTTATTTATTTAGACAACTTATTTCTAAGTAAAATTGATAATTCTTGGAAATAAATTTGAATCTCGATAACTTATATATAGATTTAAATAAATATTTAATAATTATAGTTATTGTTTTATTAAAATGGGAACAAATTTAGACAATACATTTATTTTAGTTTTCATCAATTTATAAAAGGTTTAACTTTAATATTTTACATTATTCTAGGTTTAATTGATTCTGTTTCTTAAAGAAATGAATTCACCAGTAGATAATGTTTGGGAAAGACTAGGAAAACCAAAATATATTTTGGCTCCAATGGTTGAACAAAGTGAATTGGCTTGGCGAATGCTTTCTCGAAAGCATGGAGCACACTTATGTTATGCACCAATGTTACATAGCCAAAATTTTGTACAAGATAGAAAATACCGAAGAGAATTTTTTTCTACTTGCCCAGAAGATCGTCCTCTTGTTGTCCAAGTAACTCCTTGTTTTATAATGAATAACATTAATATATCATTTTTATAAACGGAATGTAATATTGATTTAAAATCTTGATTTAGTTTTGTGGTAATGATCCTAAAGTATTATTAAAAGCTGGTAAATTAATTGAAGACAGTTGTGATGCAATTGATCTGAATTTAGGATGTCCTCAAGCTATAGCTAAAAGAGGATTTTATGGGTCATTTCTTCAAGATGAATGGAAACTTATTCGTGATATAGGTAAATATTCTTTTTATTATATTTTTTAAATATTATGTTAGAAAATTTTGTAAAATAGCTTGTATTTTTTTAAATTTTAAGTGAAGACGCTAAGAGAAAATCTCAAAGTACCAGTTACATGTAAAATTAGAATATTTGATGATATATTTAAAACTATAGAGTATGCCAAAATGCTAGAAGAAGCTGGTTGTCAAATGTTATCAGTTCATGGTAGAACCCGAGAACAGAAAGGTCGCTTTACAGGCATAGCTGATTGGAGTCAAATAAAAGCTGTTAAGTGAGTGTAATAAAAAATTTTATATTCATTATCTTCATATGTGTTTAAATATGTACTAATAGCTTAATTTTATTTATAGAGAAAATGTGTCAATTCCTGTCTTAGCTAATGGAAATATCTTAATTAGTCAGGATGTACAGAGGTGCTTGGATGAAACCCTGTGTGAAGGGGTAATGTCTGCTGAAGGACATTTGCACAATCCATATATTTTTGAAAATAAAACGCCGCCAATTTGGGAACCTGCTCTTGAATACTTAGATCTTAGTGAAAAATATCCATGTGCACTTTCAAACACTAGAGGCCATTTGTTTAAACTATGTTATCATGCGTAAGTTTTGAATTAATATTATTTTGCAACAATTAATAATAAATTATTTTAAATAAGGTTTTGTGACATGGAAAATGAAAATATTAGAGAAATTCTTGCCAAAGGACAAAATCGTAATGACTTTAGAAAAGCAATAGTTTTATTAAAAGAAAAATATTTACCTTTTCATATAGGCCATATGCCTTGGAATAATAATCAAAAGGGTATACATTTTAAAACATTTTATTAACCATATGTTACTTTATAATTATTGTATCTGTAGTAAAATATATTTTAATTTTACTCTATGATTGATTGTCAAAAATCTATACTAATTTTGCAAACAAATTTTGAAGTAAAAAATATTAATAAGTTGTATTAAATAAAGTAGTATATTCAGTATTAATATAACAAATAATATTGTAAATGGAATGAAGTGTAAAACATTTTTTAGTCTCCAGTTTTGTGAGATTGTAAAAAAATGTTTAAATTTAATAATTCTGCTAAAACTGATGCTGTTTTTAAATGTTTTAACTATCTATATATTTTTATCATAATTTTAGATTACAATTTAATATTTCCTCCTTGGCTTTGCCAACCATATTTTCGATTATTACCATTGAATGAACCAGAACAGAATACTAATACAGTTAATTTGAAAACTAATGAAAAAGAAGTAATCTATAGTTCTTAAAAAAAAATTATATAAAAAATTATCTTATATTTTTTTATGACTATAATGTTTAGAATTTAAAACGGAGTAATGAAGATTCTATCTTTGAAGAATTACAGTTATCAAAGAAGAAAATAAAAAGATTGAATAAAATTAAAAATAAGTTGAATAATCCACGATGCTTTGAAGAGCTATGTTCCAACTGCCAAAATCCAAAAGTATGAAAATATTTTGTTGTATGATTGGTGTTTTTAATTATTAGACATGGTGTAGAATCAATATAATTTTAAATTAAAAATTTTTATTAGGGTTTAAAATGTGTATATAGTTTTTGTAAAAAATGTTGCCGAGATAAATGCTACTTAGAAAATGCAGATTGTATAGGTCATCGTATAATGATAAAAACAAATAAGGAAATTTTAAGAAATAAAAAAGATGGTATGTGTGTTGTATATTTTTTACTATTAAAATAACTGTTACCTAACTATAGGTAATTATTTTTAATATAACTAACATAGTAATAACAAAATCACTTATTGATATTTTTTCATGGATTTGACTAACTTATTTTATTTTTAGAAAAAGAAAAACTAGATTGTCAACAAATATACACCAAAGTCAATTAAAAAATTTTTGTAAATGATATTATATTGCTTTATTTAATGTACTATATTTTATAAAAATTTTCAAAATTAAAAACATTCAATATTCAATTTATTTTATTAAACTTCGATAAAATATATCTGAATTAAAAGAAATTACTTGACAATTAATTATCCAACACATTATTGTAATTTGAAATTCATTTTAACTGTTTATAACAGTAATAAAATTTTGTTTAATATTGTTGTTTTTTCAATGTATTTTTTTAACTAATTACTACTATTGTTTATGTTTTTTAATTTGTTGTTGTTAAATGATAAATATAAATATTTTATTTTGACATTAAATCATTTTGTACTTTACTTATTACTTTGTTAATGATTAAATATTATTAAGAAGTCTTAGTATTCAAATATAAAGAGTATAGTTTAAAAATTTTCATGATTTAAGCATTTCTGTATTAAAATATTTAATTTAAAATAGGCGTTTTGTAGTTTTTAGCCTCTAGGATATTTTATTTAATTGATGTAAATAAATTTAACTAACAATGAAAACTTTTTCAATAGTTAATGAACCAAATATTTAGGATTCTTCTTAGTTTTCCATTAAGTTACAGAACATATTGACGACTGTAATGTTTTTTTTTGCTAAATAAAAAATTTTAACTTAATATTTTTTGTTGATAAAATTATTTGATATTTCTTAGATATAGTTTGTCTCAAGTATTCAAAATAATTACATATAATAAGATAATTATGAAGCCATTTAAATAAATCTAACTTCACCTTTCATTTAAAATTCAAGTATATCAAAAAATTCAAAACTTTTTTGTTAATGTTTTTATCTCAAAAGAATGATAATGAAATAGTGTTGTTTTAATTAACTGATGGCTTAACTATTATAAATAAAAGGACCATTAAAGCAACTATTAAAATAAAATTAATTTAAAAATGATTTCTTCATAATAGAAAAATAAATCCTAAGTTTTTTAATTGATAATTCAAATTAGGTATTTAAGAGAAAATATTTAAAGTTTAGAAATTTCAATTGCAATTATTCTATTTACCAATGCAAAATTAGTTTAAATAATTCAAAAATTCAATTTCATATACAAAGTAAATTATGATTATGAAAAACTTTTTTTTCAGTGCTCTGAAAAATACTCTACAGAATATTTAGAGCACAATTAATCATCAAAATGTGTAACATTTTGTTATCTTCTTGTAAACTTGTTTACAGATTTTTTCATTATCAACACTTTCTACTATGTTTGTTTTCTCTTATCAATTATCATTATAATTGTCACTGTACGTAGTTTCTATTGAGTTGCGTATGAATCAAATTAATAGCTAATGCAATCTTTATTCAAACAGTTGTAAATAGTCAAACGTACCTAACAATAATAAAAATTACCATGTTGTGACCGAAGCCATGTAAATTGCACTCGATAGCTGGTAAACAATTGAGCTTTAAATAATTTTAACTTGAATTATTAAACTATTACATTTCTAAAAATGATCTTTAAAACAAAAGATTTGTATTAATGAAAAAAGCTTACACATATGTTTACTCTTATAACTCACTAACTTATGGAGTAGCAGTTACTTTTATCTATAGTCAAAAATTAAAACTTAATATTATTTTTGTACACATATTATTAAATAATTTATTATTATGTTATTCTAGCATTTCTCATTAATAAAAATATTTTATTTTATCATACAATTGTATTCATATTAGATGTATTTTTTTATTTATACCTAATAATTTAATATATAGATAGATTGAAAAAACAATGGAGGAATTAACCCTAATGCAAGACCTCATGGATTTATCCATGCGTATGCGTCAAGAAAGGCTATTTACACAGTATGAGTTAAATAATTTACAAACATTAAATGAACAAGTAAATTATGATTAAATATTTATTTTATAATTAAATTTACATAAATATTTTATAAATACAGGTTACAAGTATATCTAACAGATTAGCACAAGAAGCTTGGATAACAACCCAACAAAGGATAAATCTTAATAGATTAGTATTATCTAATCCTGATTGTACACCAGCAGACTGTTGTGAAATAGCTCATAGATTAGATGAAGCTCAATTTATTGAAGCACATGAGGCTCTAGGCTATGAAGTAACAAATACATATTTAAATAAAATATTTTATAATTTAATTATGATTTTTATATTTTTGCAGAATACTCAAACATTTGGAACAATTGTTCAGAAGTTACGAGTAAATCCTAAACTCTTAGCATACTGTTTAACAGCTGGTGATAGATTACTATCTAATAGAATGCCAGAAGTAGTGAACTGTATTTTATCAGGTGTATTTGGTTCATGCTTGATGGCTGAAGATAATGTCTTGTTTTTGAAATTATTAAGACATTTGGCTGTGCTTCAATTAATACCTGCAGATAACCCCCACAGGTAAATTTTTTTAATTTTATACATGAATGAATAAACAATGTGTTAAAGAAAATTTCCTTTAATACATTCAACTGTTTAAAATGATTCAAAACTACATTTTTATAGCATAAGTCATTATTATTAATATTTTAGGGTTTTGTGTCATGGTTCATGTGCTTTTTCAAGATTATACTCTGCTTTCCATGGAAGTTTATTTTCTGCTAAATTGTTTTTAACTGCTGCTTTTTATGATCCTATAATGCAACTACTTAAGGATGATGAAAAGTTCCTTGATATTGATCCAGATAAAGCTAGAATAAGGTTAGTTTATAGTCTTATGGTTAGTTAAATATTTTTATCTTTATATCAAAAGTGACAATATATATTTTTTTTTTATATATATAGTTGTTTTGAGTAAAATCATTTTTTATATTTATATAAATTTAAGAAATCCAAAAATTTTTCAAAATATAAACTTTTTTCTTTTACTACCCTCTAAATAGATAAGGTTATATTATTATTTAATTATAATTTTAATTCATACATTTTAACAATAAAATATAGTCATTAATAGAGTTGGAACTTTATGCATTTATAAAGTTTATTTTAGTCAGGCTGAGTACATTAATGACAAATAGATGTTAATTTTTGTTTTTCTTAATCCTAATCAATGTAATTAGAATTTAATCTTTTGGGAGGCGAGAGAGAATCTCTCCTCCTAGATCAAAAAAAGTTCCTGTGGTACTATATATACCTATGATAAATTTTCATGGAATTGGGTGTCTCGTAAGTGGTACAAAAATTTTTTATTAAGTTTCAAACCCTAGTTATTAATTAATGTTTTTTTTATAATTTAATTGTTTTAATAAAACATTAATTAATTATTTTATTAATTCAAAACTTGAACCTTACAAATGTTAGGGTATTATAAAGTAGTTGTAATGTTATTTTACTTAGACATTTTTGATATAAGTACTTGAATATTATTATTTTATTTTTAAATAATAATTATTTATATAATAATAACAATACTCAAAAGTTATAATATTTTATTTATATAATTTTCACTATTTGTTATCGATATATTGTAAAAGATATGAGTATTTTGCAAAATCATTAAAAAATAATAATTATTTAAGGTTTTCACACTTAAAAATCAGTAATCGAGATAGTCCTGATTATAATTTGAAGTTGCAAAGCTATAGAAAAAATACTGTTGAACAACTTGTTGCTATTGCTTCTAAATTTATAAATAGTCTCAATGAAAATTTATACTGCTTTCCAAGTTCAGTTTGTTGGCTTGTTAGACAAATACATGTGCTTTTATCAAATGGAAGTACATTAAGTGAAAAACAAGTAATTAGTAGTCAATCAATATAATAATATCCTGTTTATAATTTTTTTTTTTTTAGATTTATAGTGTTTGTGTAAATTTAATATTTACCTATTTCATTTGCCCAGCAATTGTGAACCCTGAACCTCATGGTATTACAGATGCTGATATTACTCAGACTGCTCGATATAATTTAATACAAGTAGCTAATATCATTCAAATGCTGGCCATGTGCAAATATGATCCAATTGATAATAAAGTACAAGACTTGTATCAGCATTTTAATAAGGACTGTGTCTCTAGTATTATGGAGGCTTTATTGAAAACTTCATCCAGAAATTCTCTTAATGATGAAAATTTAACTGTAAATGCTAGTTTTAATATAGAAAATCTTATAAGAACAGTGGGATTATTTACAGAAGACGAATTGCAAACATTTGTAATTATAACCATTTAATATAGTATTAAGATTTTAAGAAATAATTTTTGTGTGAAAACTTATTAATGGTTATTTCTGTAATTTTTTTTAAATTTTATTTTATTGTATTGTTATTTAATGTATAATTCTTATTTGATAAAACTTTGTTAAAGTTAAAAATATGGAATTCTATGTCATCAAAAAAAATTAATTTTGTTTATATATTTTATTAAATAATCGTAATTATAAATAAATAAAAAAGATTATTAATAAGTTTTAGCACTGAGCAACAATATAATGTTAACATTTGTAAAATTATATATATATTATGTAAATTTTTAGGTAAATTTTTTGAATGTAGTATCTAACGATGGAATGTTAAGTGAATCTGATAAAAAAGAACTAGCCGATATGTTAATTAATATGCCAATTATATGGCCAGATACTAATTCAAATGACAAGTTCCAATTACCTTTAGAACAAAAGAAACTCAGCATTCTCAGTAAAACAGGTAAAATTACTGAATTAGTTTTTATGAAGACATTTATTTGAAAGGTAAATATTATTTTTAGCTGCTTCATCTATTGGTAAAGTCTTGCCTAACACAAGTATTTTAAACTTCTCTAATTTTGAAGATTTTAATGATGAAGAAAAAATTAAAAAAGTACTTATAATTCCATTTGAAAACTCAATTAAACAAACTATTGGAATGTTACCTGAATATAAAGTATTAGAACTGGTAAAAAATAATTCTGAAGAGGATGATGAACAAAACAAACATTATGAAAATACTAAGAAAAAAGAAAAACCGTTACATTCTGTTTCTCATGAAGGATCTATTGGTATGTATATTATATGATACTATTAATACAATAAGAGTGTGACTTAAAAATATGGTTTTTGACATTTTTTCATAATTAAATTCAGTTTATTATCCTCTCTATAATAGTAGCGGGCTTTATTTTTTTAAATTTTCATAAATTTATTATAAATAAAAAAAAAAAAAAACAATGTAACTCATATGAAAGGTTAAAACTTTAAAATTATTCATCTTAAAATATCTTTATTATTTGTACAATGTATGAAGAATGAACTTTTATTATTGAATACCAATGGATTTAATAAACCCAATTTATTGTTACATGGTGTACACATTTCAAGTTTTATCAGAAGGATATTAAAAATATACTTTTATATATATATATATATATTATATGTATAATTATTATACTTGGCATAAAAAATTTAACTTTAAGAATTTTTTTTTTTAACGAATAAGTGTTTTCTACAAAATAATATGAAAATAAACAAAATCAGTTATAAATGATTTTTAAGAATTTTACATATTTTTTACTGTAGGCTATTTATCAAAAAAACAACATAGAAGTTGTTATTTTTTAATTTCTAGTAAAATTTCCTTTATTTGAGTTTAACTTTCATAATTCTAAGTTAAGTAAATATAAGTAATAAGACACAAATCAGTTATTTCTATTAAATTTGCCTTTTCGACTCGACGTAATAGGCCCGGGGGCATGGGTTAACTGTAGTGGATCGGTTCCAAATTTTGCACAGCTCATTATTTTGACCATTAAAATAAAATTAAGGGGTAATGTAAAAAAAAATATATTTATATATATATAATAGGGAATTACTTATTAATTCACCTTTTTTTCTATCAATTTTAGTTCACCAGTTAGTAAAATTTCAGTTTTCAAATTTAACTTTTTAATTTCTTGTTTTTTGATTTCATTCAAATTTTTCTTTTTAGATACTATTATTTATATATATATATATAAACAATTTTTATTTAAAGTACATAGCTTAAAATGTCAAATAGGTTAAATTTGTTATTGGTAAATTTTCTTTGAGAATATTTATACGTTTAGTCATGATTTCTGTATGTATTTGTATTACAATTTCAAAAGTCAATTGTATTTTATAAATTGTTTATAGTTGACACTGGAAATGCTAGTGACTACTTAGAAGCTGTATCAGAAGCTGCATCCAATCATAGTGTTCCATCATCAGTAGAGCTTGATCAAGATCAAAATGATAACTTATCTGATATGGTATCAGCTAATGTGTCAGGACGTGGTACTCCAAATATATCTGGTAAATAATATAACTAATGTTCTATATTTTTAAATAAAAAAAAAAATTTTAAATATTTCATTTTTAATGTTTTAGAAAATTATATTACTTACTTTTTAAAATTAGGTCGTGATACTCCATCTTCTCAAGTTACAGAAAATGAAGACGTGGCTAATGGTATTCCTTTACCACCAGTTCGTAATAATCCAGCAGCAAAACAATGTAAATTTGATTTAGATGACAAGTTTGGTAAATTTGAGATCAAATCAAAAATGCAAGGTAAAATCTTCATTTAACTTGTAGTTTATGATTATTAACTCTGAAAATTATATCAATTTTATACAGTTTTAAATTTGATTTTTTTTTTTCATACAAAATAAAAAAATCTTTAATTAAAAACTCTATTGTTAATGCCATTTTTTACTAGTTTCATTTGTTATATTCATTAAAGAGATTTTTAAAAATTAAGCTTTAAATTTCATTCAATACACTTCCTAGAAACCATTTCATTATATAAAAAAATTAGTTGTACAAAATTTATGTAAAATTAAGTAATATTAACATGTAGAGAATTGAAGATTCAACTGTAAGGGCAGTTTTTCTGTTTTTGTCAATTATCTTACAAACTAAACTATTTACAAAAAAATATAAGAACTGAATTTATAGATTAAATGTTTACTATAAAAATGTTATTACAAAAAAAAGCCATGTCTATGATATTTAAAGACATAAGAAAAACACATTTTTATGTAAAATGTTTAAATGGACTTAATACAAATGAATTTGAATAATGCAGACAGCTGTTTAACTCATAGAAAAATTTTATCTAGACATTTTTTTGGAACTACCATTACTACTCAATTATTCAATTAGATTTCTCTAGTATTTTATTAAGTTTTAAGAGCATACTGTAAATTTTGAAAAAATAAAAATATTAATGTTAAATAATTTTTTGCTTTAAGGAATGGGTCGCGATGAAACTACATCATCAATGGTATCAGACACATGGAGTATGGATGTTTTAGCTAGTGATAATGAAATACTCGATCAATCAGAACGATCTCAAATCAATATACAACCGCCAATTCAAGCTCCTCCTATAAATCAACATGTAAAAAAAAATATATTTATTTTGTATATTATAATTGTTTATTTATTTATCTAACTCCAATCATCAATTTAGAATATAGTATATAATATAGTATAATACGTAAATAAGCTTAATTGATAATTATAAAATATATATATTTTTTAGATTTTGGATAATAATGAAACTGCATCTGAAGCTTGGAGTACAGATGTTTTCGCTTCAGATACTGATAGATTAGGTGAAGTAGATACTGATGATACTGCTAGTGTAGCTCGGTAATATTAAGCATTTTTATTTTAATTTTCAAAACATGAGATTTTTGAAAAAAAGACTTATTTTATAGATCTGATGATATGTTAAGATATGAGATAGAAAGCCGTGGTGATATAGATGGAGCTGATGATTCTTCTAGCTATCAATATTGTAAATATTACTTGTATATTTTTATATTAACATTTAAAAAAATGTAAATAGTATCATTTCTATACTATAACACTGAAACTATTTTTGCTGTTTATGATAAATTGTGATTTTTATATTACACCCATTTATTTATTAAAAAAAAAAAAAATAGAAATCAAAAATTTTTTATCGCAATAATTTGTTAAATTTAATTGAAAACAGATTTTTACTCTAAATATTAATAATTTTCAGCCCAAAATGTATTTAGACCAATATTAGAAGTACAACAAGAAGGTGCAATGAGGTCAGAACATGCTGCATTATCATTTCATAATAGATTACAAAGGCGTAAAGTGTCTGATAGTAGCGGTGAATCAAATATCTTCAAGTTAATTAATTCTCCTGATGATAGTTCTATGAATAGAACTGATACAGGACTTAACACTTCCAAATCATCTTTTTCTATGATATCAAGTGGTCAAGCAGCTACTGGAAGTGGACTCCCAAAACTAAGCCATCGAACTCAGCCATCATCTAGTCAAGAAGTAAATTAATTAGTATATAATAATTTATTGAGAAGGGTTAATAATAGTTAAATATACATTTATTTTAAGGCATCTATTGATGAAGGAGATGCAAATATTGGTTTACATATGAGTTCATGCAGTTTAGCGTCAACTAGTAGTAGTAGTGGTAGTAGTATGGGTGCTAAATCTAAACCCCTAATGATGAATGGTTCAGTTATTACTATGAAAACTACTACTAACATGGTATCAATAAATTCTAAAATGAGCAACAGTAGTGGAAGTTTAATAACAAAAAGTATTAGTTTTGATAAAACAGCCGAACGTGGAGATAGAGATGCTTATGATGATGAAAATAAAATTAAAAAAGGATTTTTCAAAAACTTAAAAATATCATTTAAAAATCGTCGAGGAAAATATTATAGAAATGATGAATTAGGGTAAATACATTTTTTTTGTTTTTTTATTTTTAAATATTAGTACATTAATAATAAGTAGATTTCATAAATGATAATATTGTGTTATATTCTGTAATATTTTATCATAATATTAAAAAATTGATATTAAAATTTATATAATATTATATAAAAGTGCATCTAGATGAAAATTTACCGTCAATGTGTGATTTACTTCATTTAAATATAACTATGATGGAAAAGTTGCAATAAAACAACAATCTTTACATAATTTCAAGATTTATGAATGTTTTTTTTATAAACAGAATTTATATTGGTTTTTAATTACGCATTAAGACAAAAAATAACAATTTAAAATTCTAATAAAATTGCCTAATTGTTATTCATTCATAATCGGCAGTTATACCAATAAAAAGTTATAATGAAAAGTTGAAAACTTAATTTTATGACAAATGAGTTAATAAATCAAGTTTAAAATTCCAAAAAGGCATATTAAACTTGTTATAGTAGTCTCAAATTTCACATAACTTTTTTATAAAATAATCAAAACAAATTTGGAATTAAAATAAAATAAAAAATTTTAATATTACAAACCAGAAATTTTTTTTTTTTATTGTCCTATGTAATTAGTAATAAATATTAAATAGTAATTTTTAAAACATTTATTTTAAATTGCACATTATTTTAGGTATGATCAACTACAAGGATGTAGCAGTAGTAATGTAAATGATTCTACTCTTAGTACAAATATTGCAGAAAATGTTTTGTTAAATGGTAAGTTCAAAATTTGTTTTAGTTTTATATTTATTAATGCCTTAAATTTTTGTTCAGAATCATCTGAAGATATATTGGCAAAGTACCGTAAAAAGCCAAATACAATTACACCTGAAAATAGTTCCAATCAAAAATTGGGTAGTACTATAAATGAAGAAGATTCCTCGTCAGAATTAAATAAGAATATTGATTTAGAATCATCTTCATTTGATAATGCTAAGAAAAAATTACGTTTAGTCCTAAGTACTGTAGACATTCAGTATGTACCTTGGTGCAATGAAACAGAATCAAAACCTATGGTAATATTTAAATAATGTTATATAGATTTACATCATCTACCATTACAATAATTTGTATTTTAATTTTTAGCTAAATACTTGGCGAGATAAAGATAATGAGCTTGTGGGTTTACTTCAATATCAATTAGCTGAAGCTACAAATTTAAATGATCACTTTTTAGCAGCAAGGTTACATGAAACAATCCGATGCATGAAAATGTTTGACACTCATGGGTTAGAAACATTATATTAAATATGATACTAAAATAAATAAATATATATTTTTTTTCCAAACAGCTGTCAGAAATTATTAAGTGCATTAAAAGATGATTATAAGTCTAGAGCACCTTATATTACTTATTTAGTGAAATGTAGAAAAACATTATTAACTAGTATTGCTCAATTAAATAGGTAAACATCATTTTTTTAAGTACAAAAAATCTTTTAAAATGTATATTTTACTATTTAATGAAATATTTTTAGGCTTCTTGAGCAAATTAAATGTGATCGAGATGTTTGTAGTCAATTTTTAATCACCAAGTGTGTGCAAATTTATCTAGAACAAAATGAGCAAAGTGTATCTGATTTTGTTTATGAATTTGAACAACGTAAGTTGGCTGATGAGAAAAACCAACACTTAAATCAATTTTTATCAGCTCTTCAGACTGAAATGAAACGAAACAATATTTGGAAAGGTAAATATTAATGTTATATTAATGTGTTATATTGAAATCGAGATGGTTAAATATAAGTAAAATACATAATGTTAATAAAAAATAAAAATGTTTATTTTTATATATATATATGTATTCATCCAGAACGTTTAAACTTATTAAGCTTTAAATGTTCAAAAATGATGCGTCTATCTTTAAAAATACTCTTAAAAAATAGTTTTTCAAATTTTGTAACTTGCATAGTTTTTCAAACAAGTGGTTCAATTATATTTAAATTACATTTATTTTTTTTTTTTTTTAAATATTTATTATTTTAATAAAGTTTTATTAATTTTACTAACATGTATTTGCATAATCATAGGTGCTAGTTATGATCAATTTGATGAAGCAAAATTAGCTATTGAAAGAGCAATTATTAGCAGAGTGTATCCTTTAGCCATGTACCCCAATGGTGATGCAGATTTTTATAGAGACCAGTAAGCTAATATTAATAATTGATAATTCATGGTTAAAAATTATTATAAATTATATTGATAATACTATCATTTATTTTGCATTATTCTAGGGTTCTCCATGAACACATGTCTAATTTAGCAAAGAACATCATGCCTACTCATAATGATTTACGAATACCTAAAGTAAATAACTATTAAAATCTATGTGTTAATTCTTCTAAAACATTTTTTAACTCTAGATATTTCATTTTGAGTGCCCTTGGCCATCAGCTCAAGCAGAAATTTCTGCAATTTCTGCGTATAAAACACCAAAAGACAAACTGCAATGTATTTTCCGTTGTACTACAACACTTTTAAATTTAATGTCAATTGCTGGTGAACATGGTAATATGCATCCAGCTGCCGATGATATAATGCCTGTGCTTGTTTATGTCCTTATTAAAGTAAGGCAAACAGGGTGATTGGTTTATAATAAACTTCTCAATTACTCACAAAATTAATACTATATTGAAAAAAAAATTGTGTTTGTTGCCATTTAAAGAAAAAAAATTGAATTGAATATTTTAATTGACACCCCTATATGTCGTATTAATTTTTTATTATTAGATAAAAATTGTTCTATCTATTAAACGTGTATTAAATAGTTGAATTTAAATTTTTTTATTATAATAAACTATACAGAACATTTTCTTTATAATCAAGTGTCAGATTAAAAAAATCATTTTAATTTTAACATTTATATATATTTAAATTATATCTTATAATTGAGTTTAATGTTATTTAACATTTAAATGTAATATTAATTGACTATTGTATGATTTTGGTGTTGTTAATAATTATTTTAAAAAAGTGATGAACATTATAGAACTTATAGAGTGGGAGACTGTGGCATCAATGAAACAGAATAAGCAGTAGGATCGGATGAAGTGCCAGTAGAAATGTGGAAAATATTGGGTGGTGTTGGCGTTTGGTGGTTGAAGTATCTTTTTAATAAATTTCAATTAGAAAGAAAAATGAAGGAATAGTATTGTTATGCAGATATTTGAAGGCAAAGGGTGTGGAAATTATAGAGGCATAAAGCTTTTAAGTCATAGTATGAAAATTTGGGAATAGGTAAAAGACAAAAGAATAAGAGGAGAAACATCAGTAACAAAGAATCAATTTGATTTTTTTGCCTGAAAAGTCAACAATGAAGTCAATTTTTTGACAACTAATAAAAAAGTATAGAGAAAAGAAGGTAAAGATGTGTATGGTATTTAGAAATTTGGAGAAAGCGTATGATAGAGTTCCGTAAGATGTTTTAGAGTGAATGTTAATGAGAATAGGAGTCCCAAGAAGGTACATTAATATAGTAGAGAATATATAAGTGTATCAGAAAATTTTAGGGTTAAAGTAGGAGTGCTCCAATATTCTGTTTTAAGACCTTATTTATTTTCTATAGGGATAGATGAATTTACTAGAGAAATACAAGGAGAGGTACCGTGGTGCATGTTATTCGCTAATGATATAATGTTAATAATTGTTTATTTTTAAAGTTTCTTACCCTATTTATAATGCAATATTTTCAGGCAAATCCACCATCACTACTATCAACAGTTCAATATATTAATAGCTTTTATGGTGATCGATTAGAAGGTGAAGAAAGTTATTGGTGGATTCAATTTTGTGCAGCTATTGAGTTTATTAAAACAATGAACTGATGCTATAATTCTTTTATTTGTATTTTTGAACTTGGGAATTTACACCCATAATAATATTGAGCATTTATGTTTAACATAAGTTCATTTTAATTTTACCTTTGGTTGGTTTATATTATTGTTTTAACATATGTCTAAATCTATTAAATAACATCTTAACTTATATGTGTATTTTTACTTATATATGTAGTTCAAATGTATATTATTTTTCATTATGAGTTATTTATAATAGTGTTCCGATTTTATCCTACTGTCAAAGGTACTGTATGATACCTATTTTTAATCTCTAAAATTATGTGTTTTAGACATTATACTAGTTATTATTATTTATATTATTTTATGTATGTAGTTGCATCTTGTACTACCCCTTGATTATCTAATTTTCCTGTTTTTTTTTTATTATTCATGGATTTAAGTATTAATCTACTACAAAAAATTAATTATTGTATGTAAATTTTATTAAAATAATTTTATTTATAAAAAAAAATAATTATTAGGTTTAATAAAAATATATTATAAATTATTTAATATATATGGGATTATTTTTAATATGTATTTATTAGTTTAACATCCCTAACTTAACATACTACAGAAGGTAGTGGCCCTTTTACACATTAAGAACTAAAAGATGGTTCTTGGATAACCAATAATGAATGAGGCGGGTATTGTGGACAGCTTGCACAAAAGACCAAACACCATCAATGAAAAAATCACAAGAAAAATCTCGTTAGCATTTTGGGAATCGAATTTGGGACCTAGTGTGCCAAAACATAGGTCATCCATACCGACTCCCTTATTTTTAGTATAAAAAAACTATTATTTATTTATATATAACAGAATAATTTATTTATTTTGTTTTTTTTTTTTGTAGTTTGTAGGTATTTAATTTTCATTCATAGTAAACATATCAGTATTTTATTAGACAATAATATTTGATACTTTTATATAATATTATTAAATTTTATAGATTTGATTTATAAACTTATGTCTACACTTTTAGGGTTAGTAAAGAAAAAATTTGTTTCTTATTTTTTATCAAATTAAAATATATACCAAAATTAAAAAATATACAAATTGTTATTAAGATAAAAGTTATTCTCCATCAAAATTGATTTATATTATTTTATAATATTTGTTAAATCTGTAAAAAAGCTAGGAAATCAAAACCTTGCTAGAGACATTTTTGATCTATAACCAGTAGAAAATGAATAAAAATAACTTTTTCTATGTAAATTTAGCTTTTGATAAATGTCTTAGTAATTTAAAAAACACTTGAAATCAAAATAAGTAATCATCCTTTTTAAGCTATGTTTGGATTGGCTCTAGGGCTTTGTCTTTTCTTTAGTCCAAATTTGTCTATTTATGTAAATATAAGTGTTTTCATTTTTATTTAATTTAAACATTTTGTAGTAGGATATAGGTTTGAGTTAATTTTTTTAAACAGAATTTTAATATTAATTATATCTACTTATAAAAATGGTATTTTTTAGAGCTTGTATATTGATATCTTGACAAAAATAACATTGTTTTTTAATGTAATAGTAGATTTGTCACCCAATCCCACATTTTCATGTAAAGAGAAATGAAGATGTACGTATGTGAAGTTTCTTATGAAATATAGGCCCCAGATTTTTAATAATACTTTTCAGGCTCCGACCAGTGGCCTATTTTGAATGATTTCTCGGGTGCACCCAAAGAAAAACCTCAATCAATTTTGATAGAGAAATTTTATCAAGGGTTTATGATAATGTTTTATTAATACGAACAAAATAATTATTCTTATAAATAATTATTGTTCAAGATAAGAAAAAAAATTATCATATTGATAAATATATCATAGATTCAATAGTAATGATATATTTATCAAATTGAACGATGAATTTATTATATAGATCGAGGTTTTTCTCTGGGTGTGGTGTCCAACTTTTAATGAACCTCACAAACGAAAATTATAGAAATGTTTACTGACGTAAAAAAAACGTACTATTTTTCTAATTACTATTTTAGGAATTGACAAATAATTTGAAGTTTGAAATTTTGGTACTGTTGTATCTTAAAAGAAACAACCCTAGTGTCTTAACTTAAAGTAATAAAAGTTTAATAATAACTCAAATGTATTTATTATAGATATAATTAAACAATGCAAAACATACAAAATAAATATACACTAAAAACACAATAAAACAATACACAAAATGAAAACTTAATGTCATAAACGTACCGCGCGAAAAGAGATTACCTTCGGTGCTCCTGAGGTTTCATCAGCAAGTATTTTGAAACATCTTTGGGCATTTATGTTTGTTACGATTTTATTTAAAATAATTTTATTACAGGATTCAATTATTTCATTTTGAAGTGTTTCACTTGTATATTTTATTGTTTCTTCAGCTTACAAAAATGATTTTAAACGGTCATCTCCTTGGGCTCTGTATCTTAATATTTCTCTAAAATTTCCTTGATTTTCTTGGATAATTTGTCATTTTCTTGATATATATTGAAGTTACAAAGATAGCCGTTATTGTNTTCTTGATATATATTGAAGTTACTAGATAGTCGTTATTGTCAAAAAAAAAAAATTAAATAATAATAATAACATTAAAAATGCAAATTAATAATTAAACCTATAAGGTAGTTAAACCCTAAAGTTATTTTCGATTTGTTAAAGTCGTTAAAATTAATTCAAATCTCCTGTTATTTTCTTTTATCAGAATTATTATGTCATTAATTCAATTATTAATTAAATTGTTAAACTATATTATATATTCAACTTAATAAATTTTTATGTTGATTATAATCGCATGGCATGATGTTTTTTGTTAATAACTAAATGGAAATAGCAATTTCACATGGGCAAAATTTTTAATAGTTGCAAGAGAATAAATCCAAACGTTGATATTTTATTTCATACAGANGTAAGTGAATAAATCCAAACGTTGTTATTTTATTTCATACAGATTAAATTTTATATGCATAAATATTCTGTTAACCGATATCAAATTTATTCCACTTGAACTTTCATAAAAAAATCTCTATCATTTGTAAACTAATGTAATAAATAAACAAACAAATACAAAAGGTTTTTCTTCAAAATATCTTTAAAATATATATATATATTTTTTTTTGATAATTCTCTGTATTATTCTTAAAATATTGTATTCTTTGACCAATAATACAATTAAAATAAATAAGTATTGTTTATACTAAATTTATTTATAATTGGCTTATACATTTTTTTAATGAATTTTTACAATTAAGTTTCCTTGACAATTAGATGTAAATGTTGATTTTATCGACATTTCAGTTCACTTCGTTTTTTCCCGTGAAAAATAAACTATCGTCTTGTGTAATTATTAAGATTTATTTAATTAGTTATTGATATGGCAAGTGAAAAAAATATTTTTGGTCAAACAAATGAATCAAACTTACATAAGGTCATACGCAGAGTTGAAGAAATATGGAATCGTCGTTTCATGCATTCCAATTGTGTTTTAAATAATACAAATAAAGGACAAATATCAAAAAAGTCAACTAAAGATGGAAGAATTATCTGTAAACACTATTAAGATTAATAATTAAACTAACTATTTCGAATAGAGAAAAAGTTTTTTAATATAAAATATAAGAAAAATTAATAATAAGTTCTCTTATTCATATATAACAATAATTCAGTCGCTTTACTTTAATTTAACTATTTTAATATTAAAAACCTTTTTCGAAATTGATTATTTAATTAATAATTATTAAAATTATATTCAATTTGCAGCAATTATTAATAAAAATATTTATCCTATAAAAAATTCCATTATTCCAAAAAAACGCACGTATCGAAAAACGAATAAAAATGATAAAATTATTCCAGAAAAATTGGTAACTATAATTATATTAATATATTTATTCGATTTAGCTATGTTATTGGGGTTTGTCTGATTCAAAAATATAAAATAAACTATCAACACCCTTAATATAAATGTGGTAACATAATGTTTAATATTATTCTGCTATTTTTTCTATTAGATTTTTATGGGAAATTCAATTATTATCGAAGATAATAATATAATATTAAGTATAGTTTATTTGTTTATTTAAATATCTCTTTGGTTACCTAGAATATGATGCAGCAAAGAGAATTCGGAACACTTTTTCAGAATGAAAAATCTGAAAAATATAAAAATGAAATTTTAAACTCAACAGAAAAAAAAAATATAGCAATTTCAAATGACAATCCGCTATTAATATCAGCTGATTTGTTAGAAAAGGTATATTTTATTATGCTTTATTTCAATAAAAAGATTTTAGGGTATACCCTAAACCATTTTTTGGACTTAAAGCAGATTTCTTAAATAAATTTATCATATAATTAAATATATTTTTATGATCCGTTAAGAGTTTTCATAAGAAAAATTTGGAACGCAAAAAATCCGAAATAAAAAAACAACTTTTTGAGATATCTTCTAATACTACTGCTCGACCAAATTTAAAAAGAAATTCATCCGAAGAAGATGAAAAAGTCATAAAAAGTATATAACTTTTAAAATATAATTCATTTTTAAAAAACATGAAGTTTTGATTTTTGAAACAAATATGTAAAATATTTAAACATAAATTATTTTAGAGCCAAAAGTTAGTTCTAATCCTTTAATCTTAAATACGCCGAATGTCGTAAATTTACTTGCTCTGCCCACTATTGAAGTAATAAAAGTACCAGAGAAAGAAAAAGGTAATTAGTTATTTAATCTATTTATTTTATGTAAAATTAAATAAAAAAAGATTATTTATTAAACATAATTAATTATAATAATACGAGTTAAATTAATATAACTTCTGCAGAGGCGTGTCATTAAGGGGGTCCATGGACGTTTTAAACAAAAGTAATTATACGTGTTTAATTTCATATTCCAAAACCTTAAATATACCTAAATAATAGTAAACTGTTCATACAAGTCTTTTATTAATTTTATGAAAAATGTTTAAATATGGTTACACTTGCAGAAGTAATGCAAAATCAGAACACAAAATCTCTTGATCAGTATAATGCACCTTCATTTAAATCGCCCACATCATGGTATACTTCAGACACAATTAATGAGTACATTAAAATGATAGTAAAACGGTCAGAAGGTGAAGTTTATGCAGTTGTCACTGATTTTATTGTAGCGTATCTTCGAGGAGGTTATCCAGCTGTAAGAAGATGGATAAAAAAAGATATTCACACAATAAAATTACTTTTTGTGCCCATGAATGTATATGAGAGTCATTGGATATTGACAGTGGTTAATATACCTGAAAAGACTGTGACATCATATGATAGTCTTAAGTCGTATGAGGGTCCCTATCCAATGGTATTAAAAAATTTCTTAATTGAATGGGAGATGGACAAAAAAGGAAAAGCTTCTACATGGACATTACAAATAGGCGAGACATCTCGCCAAACCAATGGACATGATTGTGGGCCATTTACTGTTGAGCTGGCAGAAAAAATGTCTCGAGGAGATACAACACCAATAAATGCAAATTTTATGCCTTTTATAAGATTAAGACACAAAAATGAAATTATTGCTGGCGAGCTATTCAATTAATATTTTTATGAATGAAATTTTATTTTTGTATTTTATATCAATTTTCTTAATATTCACTATAAATTGAAATTTTTATTTGTATACCACCAAACATTTTTTTACTTTTTCTATGTTTAATTGTTGTTTTGTTATTTAATTTTAATTTAAATTTTCTTTGTAACATTTCATTTAAGAAATTCAAATTTAATATAAATTTATCTTAACTGAAATAATTTAATGTTCTTGTTATGTGAATATACAAATATTATAATATACAGTTATGGATACAATTAAGTTAAAAAGTCAGCCAATTATAAATTTTTAAATTAACAAGCGTATCTACTATCTTAACAACTTAATTTTAATTTTACTAAATGACGATTCATAAAGAATTTCATAACTTTTGTTTATTTTTTAAATACTATTTTAATTATAAAAAATTCTTTTCTGTATTTTTTATGAATGCGGTATATTGAATAGGGGTAACTAAACTTATTTGTTTATAATTCTCTAAACTGATAAACTATATAATAAATTTAAAAATGAACTACAAGTTCAGAATATTTCCGTTGTTATTATATTTTTGCATTTTTTTTAAGTCGGGGGGTGTCCAGACATGGAGGACACCCCCCCCAAAATACGCCACTGGCTCCGACTCTGGTTAACCTGGCTCGAGAGAAAGTGATTAATTCTAAAAAAATAATTACATGTTATCTCAACGTAACTACAGAACTACAGTACAAAAAAATCCAATAATTTCAATTTGTTTATGTAAATTCTGTTTAGGTACCTACATTATTTATTTTCAAATGGTGCCCGGACCACCCGCGCGTTACATCGGTCTAGGTAATAACCATTTTATGACTAGTATTCGCTAGATAATACATTTTCATGTTGCAATAATTACAACATGATAATAATATTAGTTATATTTAATTAAGTTAACTTTTTGAAATACTCATTAGAATCATAGAGTGACGTGGTTGGGTGACGTAGAATTTGTACTGTTTTGATGATCTCATGACTAGAATGATTATTTTAAAGTCTAATTTTATATAATTATCATAATTATTCCCAAAATATGTCCAATTTTATTAATCATACCTACATAAATCGCACCAGTAAATGTGTTTACGAAAAGTATTCGACTTTTTGATATTAAATTATGTCAATCATTTCATTGAGTATGAGTTAGATCATTTTTTAATTCCACTTTGTATTATCTAATTTTTCCTTTTAAACATATTGAAACAATATTAAATCACTTCTTTAAAAAAACGTTTGGAGAACATTGCAAACATGTAATTTTTTGAATACATAATATCGTTAGTAAATTTGCGTGAGTAATACTTATATGTATTATTTATAAATAACACTGGTTTTTAAAGAATGTTGTTTTTTCTTCTGAAAGTTTAAATCTATCGACGTATACGTTATAATGATACTGTTAATCTCGCCTTTCGAGATATGTTAATGAAAAATTTATAACAATTTTTGTTATGATAGTTATTTATTTTTAGGTGATTTTTTACAATTCGGTGCAGTTCAGTGTTTAAACTCATGCTTATGTGTAATCATTTTTTTTATTTTAATTATTAGTAAACCATTAAAAACTATCTATAATTATCCCACTGTCGTCACAACAATATCTCAGTATTACAATATTTTTCTGAGTAAACCATGTCTGTGGTGACTAATAAAATGTTTTATGGATTTTTTTTTACAATACAGTGTAACGAACCGCAATTTATGATTAAGATGTTAGGAATCAGAAACCATTTTGATAAACTCATATTTTTTTCGTCATTTTAAAATATAGATCTTACAATTAAACAATTAGATGACAGAAAATAAAAATTAGAAACTGTGAATTCGAATGAAATTTCCAGAACGAGTAATACAGGTGATAAAATACTTGAGAAAATTCAATCATGATGGGTTACCTTTTTTAATTCATTATCAGCTATTTGGCTAGTGTAAAGGGTGTATTAATCAATATATAAATCTCAGAATTGTTCTCGCAGACAATTATATTTTTTGTGATTCTTTACTTTACTAAATACATTTGAATTTTAGTAAAAAAAAAAAATCTTAAAATGCATCAAACCGAATAATAAAAGCACACCTAAGAATTCTGTTATGTACATCTATGAAAATAAAACATAAATATTCTCATAAAAATATAATAATCTAATTACTCATTCTGAAATTAAATAGAAAAACTTGCTCTTTTAATAGAAAACTGACTTATAAAAGTATATTATACTATTGTGTTGTCATGGGCGTAACTAGAAATTTGAGTCTACTGGGACTAATGTCTAACCAATTGTTAAGACCTATTTAAAGTCATTCAAAGTCTAAGGTAATAATGTTGAACAAAAAGAAAACGTCATTTGTTTTTTTACGAAAATAAAAAGTCTGTATTTAGTTGCAGAGTAATAAACATCAAGAATTTACATTTTTTTCTCGAAATAACATTTTATTAATTAATATGTATGCATATTTAGTTATTTTTTAGAGCTTTAAGTTCTATTTTTTATTTACGATAATATCTATTTATTTTTTATTTTATTTTATTAAATATATCTCAAATTTATTTTAAACATAATATAAATAACTATAATGAAACATTAAGTAGCCAGCCACTTATAAATTTACCAAGGTTTTAGAAATAATGACGTTTATGGAGCTAATTTTATGTTTATGAGGACTGAGCCGCCTAAGCACTTACCTAGTTACACCAAAGTGTATAATATCCTTTTACTATAAATATCTCATAGCTCATTGTTGTCTAATCTAGTTTTTCTGTTGGAAAACAATAGTTAGACAGGCTTATATTCCATTAATCAAATTGTAAAAAGTAATTCTCATTGCAATTTTTGGGCTCAGAGATTAACTAAAACTAAGGTAATGTCACAAACTTAAAATTTAGTTTGCTCAGATTTTTTATTCGTGTAAATCCGTATTATTAAATCAATAAATTAATTAAATTTTTTCCATTAAAAGTAAAAACTAAAAAATTGTTTATCTGAAACCGTTGAATTTTGTTTGTAAAATAAATTGTCATGTAAAACGTTATGTGTAAATGTTTTTTAAAACATTAAATTATAAATATGTTGGCAATTTCTAAGCTATTTCTCCGGAAAAATATTTTACTCTGCAATGTATAGTGCACATTTTAATATGTAACTAATAAGAATTTACAATCGAGTTTACAAATTAGTAGTATTTATAACTGCATATAGTTCATAGCTTTTTAAACAACGATATTTTCAATTCGACAGAAATAGTAGTTATTGAATTTTTAGTTTTATTAAGAAATGTATTAAGGGTTGCTAATTTTTTTTTTTTAAATATGGAAAGTTCAACATTCCCCTCCAAAAAAATTATTAAATATTGTTTTTTTTTTTTAATATTTAATAAAAGTTTTAAATGTTAGATAATTGTATCTAACATATAGAATTTTAGACTAGCAGCAATCACAAGACTACTAGACTAAATTTTAATTAAGTTAAATTAAGATATTTAATTTCAAATTAATGTTATGCTAACATTTCTTGTCCATGTTTTTCGTTAAATTTATTCGTTTAGGCATCTCGATATTTAAAAAAAAAAAATTCTTCTGATTATTATATGAATCAAATAAAATTATAAGTAGTTGTTAGTAATAAAAAAATGTATATTCTTACAAATATTTGATAAAAATAAATTTAGACTTAATAGAATGTTAAAAAAAAATCTCTTAGATTTTTAAAAATTAACTGGTTCATTTGGAAGTATTGATTTTTCCAATAGTGTGCGATACATTTATTAAATTTAATATAAGACTTCATAAAAAATATTAATTTGTTGCTTTGTATTTTGATTGAAAGTCAAATTTATTCGATTACCGAGGTCAAATGATCATGGACGCATAAAAATTATTATTTAGCACGTGAGTTTTTTACATCAACATAGCTTCTTTGGTTATTAAAATAATTGGGTAACATCTTGTAATATTATAAAAAGAAAACACGCAGGGATTTGTATAATGTATAAGATAGTACCAAATTTTGTATTTTTTTTAAATTACACTTCGGTTTTTTTTTTGCTATTATTCATTCAATAATTTTTAGGATTAATAGATATAACAAAAAATTTAAGTTATTTTGAATTTCAAGTTATGTTTTACTCTTATAAGTTTTTACATACTATCGACATAAAATATATATTTTTAAAAATAAAATACATTTTATTTTCATCTGTAAAAAAAAAACATTTTAAAATTTTTTTTAATCTAAATACTCCCTTGATTTTAATTGTTTTAAGCGAGAAAATCTTATTGAAATCTCGAAGTTACTATTTTTTGATGTCTCGAGTACGTCTGCAAAAAGGTATCGCCTAAATGCGTCCCGAGAAAGTCTAAATATTTTGAATTGCTCTAATGTACTAATTTCATTTAGAGTTGCACCGCAGAGGTCAACTGAGTTATACCACGGAAATGTTTTTTTTTTAATTATTTGTAAATGCAAAACATAAATTATTCAAAACGTATAAAATGTTCAAAAATCAATTGTCAAACGACACATTAGTATTAGTTTTTTTTTTTCAAAATGCAAAGTTTTAAATGTTCAAAACATTAGTCGATTCTTAAAAACCATAATTTTTACAGAGTCATTTCTTGATATTTGATTATTTTTATAATTTTTTATGTTTTTCAACAAATGACATAAAAAAAATTGTTGATAATAATGCGGAAGCAATGGGGCCTTGAAAAAGGTAAAAATGAAAAACAGAGTGCAGTCATGAAACTCCTTTATAGCATGGAGTATGATGAAAAAATAAAAAATTTTATCACCATTTCAAAAATATTATTTTATTCAAACAAAACGGTCTCCTCCGTAAATACGCTTCTGAAATGAATTATTTTCAGTCGAGTGATTAAAAACTTAGTTTTTCCTGTCTACCAATATTGCTATGTAAAACACGTCATATGTATCCATAACACTAATTATCCTATATTATATTATTATACAAATTATTAGTTTACGGTCATGAGATTGTTCTCATTCGGAATTAATCTTTTGAAACGCAATTTTTTATCACGCGATAAAATATTTTAAAATACGCGTCGTTTATTGCTATCTGTTTGCTGATGTCCATACTTCTTTGTGTGTGCGTTACGGATAAAAAGTAAACCAGTAATTCGATACTGTTAATTGGTCGATGTAACAAAAATAAATGCTAGATGGCAAAAAAAAAAAAACATTTTTGAAGACAACGTGACCACCACATACATGTCGGTCGGCGTCTTGGATGTCGAGGGTAGGACAACGTAGGCGTGTCCTTCGGCGGCAGTGGTGTCTTCTACGTGTAAGAGAGTGACATCAAGAGTGCAGGCGGTTCACCGGGTTTGCGAACGGACGGACCGGAGTCACGCACCATTCGCTACACGCGCGTGTATCCGCGCGCACAATCGCCGCACTTTACTCGGTCCGAGCGCGTTTCGTCGTGCGTCCCATCGTAAAACTGTGCGTCGTACCATATTGCGACCATATCATTAAAATTATCAACCGATTTTGTTGTGCCGCTCGCGATAATTATATCGTTTCTCGTCTAATTAACTTACTAATACGCGGCGCGGACGATATTTTTGTTCTGTTCTCGCGGTCTTTTTGATCAGCTACCCACCGGATGGCATGATCGCCAGTAAGACTCATAGCCGCACCACGGTTTTTCCAGGAGCTTTGCTGTTCCGGCAGCGGCTGTTCGCCATCGTCGTCGGCCTTATCGTGTTGGCAAGCGCGACGCCCTTGACTGTCGCTTCGTCCTGTCCGGCGGTCACGGCAAACGCCTTCGGCCGTACCGTTTCTGCCGATGTGCTACCCGACGGCGAGGTCGAAGTCCGTGTAAGCTCCGGCAACGTAACAGCCAAAAGGACGTCGTTTACTGCACCGGAAACTGGGTAAGTTTATAATACCTGAGAAAAACTGTTATTATATTCTTAACACACGGCACGCCAATTACACAAACTAAATTGAATGTAATCGATACGAATAATTTAGTCAGACATTATCAGGTGCTAAACAATTATCTCCATATGATTATAAATTTAAATCAATCACACAACGTACAGCAATGTGATCAGTGCTATTACATAATCAATGAGTTCGCGATTAATTATCGGATAATTTTTATCGATAATGATTTGTTATGAAAATTATAATTTTAAGCATATTAAAGTTTTTTAATTGTTAGCTATTGAGTACTATTTGGTTTAATCATTTTACAGCTTGTTGATAAGTCTGTTTTTTTTTTCAATCATTGTATTAATATGTTTAATAATCAAAAATCCCCGTTATTCATTAGAATGTAAATATAGAAATTCTATTGTTAAAAAAACTCTTTGACCTACTAACTAAAAACTCTTAGAAGTAGTTCTTTCTTTTAAATTTTCCGATAAATAATAAACCGAGTAACAACACTCTCTCGGGTCTGCTGAACAGTCAGTTTTCAGTAGATACGCGAAACTCTATAAATACAGTTAAGGTATATAAATGATAAATACATAAAAAATATGTGAATTTTTGAAATTAGCATAAGCTAACACTATGCAATACCTACATAACTTGTGTTTAAATTATCCCTTTATTAAACTATCCTTCTAATATTAATGTAAATAGCTAATTTATTGTAGTATTTCAAATCTCTCAACGTATACATAGCTATTAGCCTTTGTAAACGCGGCTTTTATTAAAAAAAAAACAAAAAGTACCTTAAACTCAATGAACTTTTATCAATCATAGAACATCGGCAATGCTTGAATGTAATGGAAAATCGTCAAAACTAAAAATATCTAAGTGTAGATTCTGTGAAACGTCGTGAACACGGTAAATTTACTATTTTATAACAACATAAGGTTTTTCTTGTTTTACGACGTATCCAAGTTAAATTTAATTATTTATGTCTGAGTACAATTTATTTTCGGTCACGAGTACATTTTAGCGTCATGAGGAGTACTTGAAAGAATTCACTCAGAATTTTCAATAAAAGCTATTTAAATAAAAACACCTAGAACATTGTATAAAAAGTAATGTCGTAGGTCGCGCAGCGAATATTTGCGTGTAAATGAATTAATTATCTTTTTGTGCTACTTAGTAAACATTAATCGACAATGAAAATCTGATGTAAAAAAATTCTTCTTGTTACTTTTTTTTAAAGACTACTGGCAATTGAATTTAAGATTTGAATTTGGGCAGATATCACATTGTAATATTGTTCAATGTTAAATTATTGAATAAATCGGGTATGAGTTACCGTGTAATCTTTTGAATGATTTAATATGATAATTTTAAAACAAAGACACGATACAATTGGAGAACGATTCATAAAATATCGAGAGAGTAACGTGAAACAATATCGTTTTGTTGTGAATGTAAACGGCGGCACTCTGATTGAAAGCGAATTTTATTGAGTTGCAATGAAAAGTCTAATTATTGTAAGCCTTTCGCCGCGTAACAATCGTGTTTACGCGTTTCTGCCATACATTTGTCCCTATTAAAAAACCCGCCATTTATGTAAGTGTACCGGTCTGAACCAGTCGCGTACGTTATGAACGCTATTTGACTTTGCGCTAGTTGTGGTGGTCCTGTGGTATTCTCGCGAGTTTGCAACGACAAAACGAAAGACGAGTATTGTATAGGGTCTGCTGCACGAGGTACTATCTTGTTCCGCGAATCTGCCAAACAATATGATGCGCAAGGTACTTGCATTGTGTATTTCCTGTAATGCGCTCAGCGTGCAAAAATTGGCAGGTCTAGGGATCGATTCCGGTGGCGTTACATAATGCGGTGGTGGTATTGGCGTTGGCAATATAAAAAATGCACAATGAGCGGGTCCGAGATTTTCTATTCGACCACATTGTTCCTAAACGGCGATGACGGTGTTGAATTTTTCATGACATTCACGCCGTTGCCCAACGATTGTTAGCGCCGGTCAGTCTATTTTATAATACTTGATAATGTGTTGTACCACAACAGTACCTTGTTCATACTCGAACACCGCCGACACGGGGCCACCCCCAACGCAGGTGCTGTTCGACGGAAAAAAAAACAGTCTCTTTCTTGTAAGTGTGTGGGCGCCGGGATTCACCTTTTACGCGCAGGGATCGTAACACGCTCAGGGTGGTTATCTTTTATGGTCCGAGTAAATGTACGGTATCTCAACGACGACCGTTGTTAAAACACGACGACGATGTTGTGATAAACATCTATCAGATGACAAGGCGCAAAACATTGACAACACATCGTACGGGTGAGGTTACAAAGAAATCCAAACCGCAAGAGTAATCGATTTGAAAAAAAAAACATAATATTAGTACGCCATCTAAACGCGATCGAACCCTTGACGAGTAAAAAAAAAAAAAAAAAGACTCGACATGTGGTTATATTTTCGTTCATTTTTAGTTGGCGCGATTACCACCTTGACATTTCCTTGCTATTAACAGACCGAACAGATCTTTTTTTTATTTTCTTAGATTTATATTGCGGTAGCGTCTCTTCGCATTCCTGCGGGCAATTCACGGGCCTGCAACATAGACGGTCCTCGTAGTCAATTATGGGTGGGGGCTTTTCTTGAGAGTGCCTTACTCTTTTATTATTATTGTTACTATCATTATTGCTATTACTTCTATTAATTACATCACGACGAAAACAATAGCCGGACACGTTGATCGGACACGGTGCTAAAGCCGCCCGGGTGGTCATTAAAACCAGCCGACGACGTTTGTTTACATCATTAACCGTCATGAGGTGTGAAACGCTGTCGTCGAGGTGTAGTCCAACGGATTAGATACTCATCTACATTATGATTACTATAGAAAGTGATCGTCGTAAAGAATAATTATCATTACGGGGCATGTCCTAACACAACGGTTAGCACACGGTCATATCAAACGCATACACCAGCACTTAAGTCTATCAGATATATAGCGGTCTGCTGGTTGACTTTAGTAGGATAATGTGCGTTTCCGTATACTCGAGTGAATCTTCAAAACGAACGATTTACGGTTTAATGACAAAAACATATTGTAGCAAACACATCATTGTGATTCGAAGCATTTATTTATGGCTATACACACTGAAACTTTTATAAAACTTGAGGGTTTTTAACTAAGAGTTAGAGTAACGCCTAAAATTTCAAACCCACATTTGGCCCATAACTATGGAACTTTCAATATTTCAAAGTCAGTAACTGCGAATCTACAAAAATATATAAAATTTGTACTCGAGACGAATATATTAAATTTCTCAAATGCATTTATTACAGCCTTTTATTCTACTATTATATAAAAGCAGCTTAAAAAGTTCACTATTATATTGGTGACAGGCGGTCTCTTGAAATCAATAGACTCTTAAGTGTCGTCCATCAAGTGGTATCAAATGTTCAAATGTTTAGTGGAGAGTTTATAAAATGGCTATCGTGTAAATCAGATTTCATAAACTAAAACCTCTTGGTTTAGATATACTATAAGAGTTTTTTTTAAAAATTATTTGTATATAATTATCGACTTACTTTTTCATATATTATCAATGACAAAATTCCATTTACATGAGTGAGCTTGTGTGCATTATTATTTATATATTTAATTTATATAGATAAATTAAATATTTTATAAATAAACGAATTAATCCTTTTTAATAATCTATTTTTATAAAAACTTGGTAATTTACTAAGAACCCATTGAAGTGTAAAATAAAAAATACTTAGAAGCCATAGAAGTACAAAAAAACTAAGAAGTTATGAAAGTGCAAAATACAAAAAAATATTAAGCCAAAGATGGGCAAAAACATTGAGAAACTATAAAAGTGCAAAAATATATGAAGCCATAAAAATAAAACAATTTTGAGAAGCCATAGAAGTGAAAAATACAAAAATATTAAGAAGCCATAGAAGTGAAAAATATCAAAATATTAAGAAGCCATAGAAGTGCAAAAAATTTCAAAGAAACCATAAAAGTTCAAAAATATACGAAGCCATATAAGTATAACAATTTTGAGAAGCCATAGAGGTGAAAAATACAAAAAAAATAAGAAGCCATAGGAGGCAAAAATCATTAAGAAACCATAAAAGTACAAAAATATATGAAGCCTTATAAATACAACAATTTTGAGAAGCCATAAAAATGCAAAAATATTTGAAACCATAGGAATGGAAAGACAAAAATATTAAGATGACATAACATAATACTTCTCAAATATCAAAGGTTTTTCCAAATTTTGTCACAAATATTTTAACATGCATTTATTAGTTTAAAATAATACAATGTAACATCCTTTCAATAAAAACACTGTGGACCGACTTTTTTCGCTAAGAAGACGTTTCCGTTCAATAGAGGATAATTTTAATCCATAAAAAAAACCGGGACTATAGAATTATTCCGTTTAAATGAGGTTCCAGTCTAAAAGTGGGTCCGTCGAGAGGAGGTTTCACTGTACTGAATTTTGACACGACTCTAAAACATATATTCAATTTTATTATACAACGTTTCGTAAATAATTTTGTCGACGTCACCGTGAAAGCGTTCCTAAGTACGGAAGTCCATGATAAATGAGCAATTTTTTATTTATTGTTAGAGCTCACTAATAGATAATATGATAATTTACATTTACGATCAAAGAGAAATGCTTAGCTACGCCTCATTAAAATTCCTGCTCTCCCATTAAAAAATATCTACTTAGTGTGTTACACGCACAAAGTTGATATTTATTTTTCGCCAGAATTTAAATAAAATGAAATTAATAACTTTTATTAATGACTAGGCCTTGTTAACAGTTCACCAATTAAAATATTGTTTAGGCACATATAATACCGGCGCACAGGTACATGAAAATTGCCGAAATATGTAATTGTGGACATGTCGTGTTACTGTTGTGTTGTCATGAATAAAAATGTAGTATCAAGTTA